GTGCCAATCGCATCGTTGCCAGTGTCATCATCGCTAATTCATCATGGTGGTCCCCACCTTGGTAAAACGCGGCAAGTGCGAAGAATCTTTTGATGTTTTGTTGTCGGTATTTGTGCGGAATCCAAGCGGGCAATCCTTTTTTCCGTTTTTTTGGGCCAGTCCCATGAAGTAAGGAATCGAATATAAGGGGCCTCGCTCCATTCCTCTCGAAAATGTGCAAAACTAGAGTGAAATCTTCCGCTTGAACATGGAGAGCGATCCAGCGCCATGTTTTTTGTCGTTTCTGCATGTCGAGAGTAGCATAGTGGAGCGAGGCCCGCTGCCCGACGTCGGGGACCTCACCATTCGCCCCGGTCTATCTGACACAGCATCCGCCAGCTTAGCTTGCAGGCTTGCGCCTGCCGCAAGTCCTTMCCACAGACTTTCTATTACCTGCAGCTCCAACCTATATACTAAAGTGAACGATTTTTTTTTTTTTTTTTTTTTTTTTTTTTTTTGGTAAGTGAACGAAGTCAATGGAACTAGAGGCCGAAAACTTTCAGACTACCTTTCTCGGCCTTTTGGCTAAGATGGAGTGTAGTATCTGTTCGTTCTGATCAGTTTACTATCTGATCCGTTGTCCATCGGGCCACATGATATTGAATTAATTTTTCTGGGCCACGGAGGGGTCAGACGGGTGGGCTTGCTGCTTACTCGACCCCTCCAGCGTTGCCGCTGTATTGCACTGCTGCAGAGCGCGGCGCAGCCCTCCCCTCTTTAAGGGGGGAAGGGGAATCAGACAATGTGAGTTGGTGGCCATTTATAACAAAACCCAACGGTCAATTGAACCAAACTTGCGGCCAACTCAAATTGTGGTGGGGTTCAACCACTTTCAGCTCCTCGATTTGGTTTGCAATTACTTATAGTATGCCCTCCGATTTGAGTGGAGGGCATACTATTAGTAATTGCAAAACAAATCAAGGAGCTGAAAGTGGGGGTCAATCAACTGGCGCCTGTGGGGCAGTTGGGTGTCCACCCTTGAATTGAACTGTCGAAATACGGACCCGAGTTCGAACTCCAGATTAGGAAAATACTACAATTCGGAATTACCTACCGTCTTCAACCGAATAGAACGCCTGGTCATTATCACTGCATCTGGACTGAAAGTTGGGACAAATGCAGCTATAATGACCGGGCGTTCTATTCGGGTGAAGACGGGTGAAGACGGTAGTCCAAGGCTATAAATAGTCCTTTGAAAAAGGGAAAAAAAAAAGAGAAAGAAATTGGGGGTCACCGTTAATCACTTGTGCGATTATGGCATGGCGTCAACCGGAGAACAGGAAATGAAAATGGTCTTTGTCGTCTAGTGTGACGTGGCATCTCAGCCTGGCACTGGCTAAGTGAAGGTGGTTGGTTTTGTTCAACGCCCACTACCGTCTTCACCCGAATAGAACGCAGCGTCATTTTCGCTGCATCTGGACAGAAACTTGGGCCAACTACGGATACAATGGCCGTACGTTCTACTCGGGGGAAGACGGGCAGAACGCGTGGGCATTCAGAGAGAATAGAAGGCAATCTACCTCCGCACGATTTTTTTTTTTTTTTTTTTTTTGGAGGGGGGGGGTTTAAAGAGGGAAGGGGGGAAAGGGGGGGGGAAGGCCCCCCCCCCCCCCCCCCCCCCCCCCCCCCCCCCCCCCCCCCCCCCCCCCCCCCCCCCCCCCCCCCCCCCCCCCCCCCTCCCCCCCCTTTCTTTCCCAGATGTGGCAGTAAAGTAAAGCAATTTCGGACTATATATGGCTTGTTCCAAAAGGCATATGGCTGTGCACTGTGCATGGAAGGATGAGGAAGGAGGTAGGAGGGAGTTACAAAGGCCTCCTTTTTTTATCTTTTTTTTTTTTTTGGACCATTTCTCGATTTATGCGTGTCACATGTACCTTTCCAATTTTAACAGATGTCCCGAAGGACTACAAAGGCCTTTTGCCTAAGATCAAGTGTAGTTTGTGTTCTGGTCAGTTTAATATTTGATCCTTGGTCTATCGGGCCACGTCAAAGAGTGGGCGGCCAAGGGACATGATCACAAGGCAGCAGGCTCAGAAGAAAGCCTTAGCGCACCCACGGCTGTCAGCACTGAACAGCAAGAACAACATCAGCACCTGCCTTGGATCTGGGGCAAGGTCCCAGCCTTGGATCTGGGGCAAGGTTGGGGCCCTGGATCTGGGCAAGGTCCCAGCCTTGGGGCCCTGGATCTGGGGCAAGGTCCCAGCCTTGGGGCACTGGATCTGGGGCAAGGTCCCAGCCTTGGGGCCCGGGATCTAGGCCAAGGTCCCAGCCTTGGATCTGGGGCAAGGTTGGGGCCTTGGATCTGGGGCAAGGTCCCACTTACGTGGATTTGTCATTTTTTGGCCGTAGATGACGATACTCGAGAGTCGGGACATCCGTGAAAATCGGAACGATACAAAGAGGGGTGATTAGCAAAATGGCCTATGGCCTCTGTGCAATTAAGGATGATGGACATGCATTAGTGGAGAGTTGTCAAAGACAAAAAAAACACGCGCGGGCAAAACGAACGGCCGCAGAACTTGAAAAGGCAATTTCAGTTGAAATAGCTCCGTTGGCACTTTTTTTTTTTTTCCTTTTTCTTTCTTTCCCTTTTCCCGTCTGGCACCATGGCTCCTATGGAACGGCCGCAGAACTTGAAAAGGCAATTTCAGTTGAAATAGCTCCGTTGGCACTTTTTTTTTTTTTCCTTTTTCTTTCTTTCCCTTTTCCCGTCTGGCACCATGGCTCCTATGGAACGGCCGCAGAACTTGAAAAGGCAATTTCAGTTGAAATAGCCCGCCGCCCCTGTGGTTACGACACCTATGGCTCTGTCGTGTCATGGCCGCAATGCTTTCATTGCATTCGCCTTTTCTAGTTCGGCGGCTGTTTCTTTTGCCTGCGCGTGTTTTTTTTCTGCCCATCCCAACCTCTACTGTAACATAGGGCCTCGCTCCACTACACAGCACTCTCCATGCATCTGGACACCTTCTCGTGTGGATACATTCAAAATGTTGGACTCATCCGAATGCACCCGTTCTAGAACGTGTGCAAATGCATGCAGAGTGAATAAGTTCGGCCGGAAACGTCGAAGTTGATACGTTTTCACGGTTGTGACCAAGTTCACAAACTACTCTGCAACAGTCATATGTGGAAGCGACTGGTGCCATATGTGCAAATTTTAAAAAGTGGTAGTGCCGATTTGAAAAAAATCTGTACCGCGAATTGAGCAAAGACAACAACAAAGGAGGACGAAGTGGAGTGAAAATGTGGGGGGCTGCTACGTGATAGTTGTACCCAAGCTGTGCGAAAACGTGGGGGCATACGACAAAATTGCTGCATCGCATATGGCTCATAACCCTTCAGCTAATCAGTATTGCTTCACTATAAGGCCTTACAATTTTATGGCTAGGCTATTTGATGATGTGAGTGGAAACAAGCTTTGTATACATATATGTCTTCTGGGGGGGGTGTCCTACCCTGTGTGTTTCCTGTGTTTCTTCCTGCATCCCCCCCCCCCCCCCTCCTCCTCCTCCTCTCTCTCTCTCTCTCTCTCTCTCTCTCTCTCTCTCTCTCTCTCTCTCTCTCTCTCTCTCTTTGGAATTTGAGGTTGTGATTTAACCTGGTGGTGGCGCTATGTGTCTGTCCCAATGCCAAAATCATGATGGCGTTCTTTGCAGGTCGACCTCTTGGATTGCATTGACTTTACTTCTGTTGAGTGTTTGAACGAAAGCCCAAGTCATACCATTGAGAATGCATTGAAACAGGTGACCATCAAAGATGCTGCTCTCTCTCTCTCTCTCTCTCTCTCTCTCTCTCTCTCTCTCTCTCTCTCTCTCTCTCTCTCTCTCTCTCTCTCTCTCCCTTTGGCTCTCTATTTCTCTCCCCCCACCCCGCCTCCCTGTCTCTTTGGCGTTTTCTTTGATGGATCAATTAATTATGTGATTTAGTTGTTTATTTTGAAAATTCTGAGGCAGGAGACCATTTTCTTTTTGTGACTATGCAGTGCAATTTCATCGTCGGATTTCATGAGTCTGGAGGAAAAGGACGAACTGCCTTCTTCTGCTTCTTCTGCTTCTTCTGCTTCTGCTTCTTCTTCTTCTTCTTCTTCTTCTTCTGCTGCTGCTGCTGCTTCTGCTTTGCTTTTTTTTTTTTTTTTTTTTTTTNTTTTTTTTTCCCCCTTGATCCTCAAACCACCAGTACGTATGAGCCTCTTTTCTCCGATGCCCATATGTGGCACGCACCAAGTTTTGTCATACCAGTTTTTTGTTGTGAAATCGAACATTTTCGCTGGCGCTGCCTGCCTTTTTTGTTCGATAGGCTGATCCCAGTGTTAACCACCACGTACCTGGGAAATGTGCTAGTGGTTTAAAGGGACAGTTTATAGAAGGCAAGGTAGGTTTCTTTCTTTGAAGGGTTCCGGGGGGTTTGGGGGGGAGGGGGGGTACCTAGTGGTGCTTCGGATCTGCTTCTGCTCTATTGAGAATGGTAGGTTTCCGTTTTGGAGATTTGTTTGAAAACTTAACCAAAAGGGAAAGGGCGGAAAATGTACCCCTGCCTGATTGTGGAAATGACACACGATCTTGTAACTGATCATCATCAGCTCAAGCGTTCAAACCCTTCTAGTTGACATTAGGAGGCGTACATTTTCCCGAAAACGGAGACAAGATGGGAACAACCAACAGGTAGCAATGGTAGGTCGACATTGGCCACTTTTGGAGGTCAAAACTGGGCAGGTCGGTGCTGACTCAGCACACGAATATCGCACCTGTGAGGCCTTACCCTCTTTTTTCTTTTTTTTTCTTCTGTTTTTTTAACCTTCAGTTACTCAGTAGCACCGATCCTCCAATCCTGAGTCCTCCAGTCCTGCAAAAACTGGCCAGGTTCATGCGGACTCGGCACGCACATTTCGCTGAGAAGATTGGCAGTCGATTGCACTTTGACGGGTGACGTTTCTGCTTCAAGTGCTACGTCAGATGAGAAGTAGCAAGAGGAGGAGGAGGAGGAGAGTGATGACAAGAGAGTGGATAACGGGAGGAGCACCAAGTGGATGAAGGTGGGGAAGGCAGAGGAGGAGGGGGAGGAACGAGGAGAGGGAGGAACGAGGAGGGGGAGAAACGAGGGGGAGGAGAAGCAGGAGTTTTGGGAAACTTTATGCCTGTGAAGGGACGCAGAGAGAGGGTCGAATTTTTAAAAATAAGCAAAAGCGATAATGAGAACAGACAATCCTTGAATAGTGGGAACATAGTACCAACTGGGCCCTGGAGCTCAGTTAGTTGGTACACACACCTGAACCGAACTGTTGGAAAACAGACCCGAGTTTGAACTCCACTGGAAGCGGATGAGTGAAAAAAAAAAAACACTAGAATTCTCTGGATTACCTAGGGATGGTCAAATTCGATGATGATATCTCAAGGCGGTTGCCCTTTTTTTTTTTTTTTTTTTTAGAATTATGTTACATCAGTTGGACTATTTTTTTTTTTTTAATCTTTTGCATCGATTAATTAGCAGTACACCGATTACAACTCTATTTGTTTCCCCTTTTTTTTTTCTTTTTATTGCCAAGTGGGAACATAGTCGGCTATTCTTCCTTCTTTTAAAACAAAGAAAGGAAAAGAACCAAAAAAAAGAACTGAAAGGAAAAAAAGAAGAAAAAAAAGGGGGGGAAAAAAGAAAAAAAGAAAAAAGAAAAAGAAGAAAAAAAAAGGAAGAATGAAAGAAGAGCCTTGAATATGCTGTTGACAGCCCAACTGTCCTTCCTGAAATTTCTTATCTACGTAGCTGTTCGATTCTGGGATTGATTTTTTTCAAATTTCAAGTCACGGTTTCAATTCTCTCCCCGCCCCTCCCACCCCACACCCCACCTCTCACAAAAAAAAAAAAAAAAAGAAGTCCTATCTTCTAAGTTCTAAGAAGTTTGACCACCTCTCTCCATAGCCGTGTCTATAGCTGTCACTCTAGCTATGGAGACAGCTACAGTGACGTCTATCGGCGTCCATAGCTATGGAGCAAATCTATTCCATCGCTGTCACTGTAGCTATGGAAGCAATCTGTTCCATCGCTGTCATTGCAGCTATGGAGCCAATCTCTTCCATAGCTATAGTGAGTGACCTCCATCAGTGTCCATAGCTATGGAGCCAATCTGTTCCCAGAATTGATATGCCTGCCGCAGGCGCTTCTGTTCTAAACCATTGTCATCATTGCTTGGTTTGCCTGTCGTTGTGTTGCTCTCTCTCTCTCTCTCTCTCTCTCTCTCTCTCTCTCTCTCTCTCTCTCTCTCTCTCTCTCTCTGTCTCTCTCTCTTTATTGTGCGTGTCTGCTCTGAACATTGGATCGCGGATCGTCAGGGCTACAGGGAAGCCGATGATGTGTACCTGGAGAGCGACGCTGATGAGCAGTTACTCATATACATCCCCTTCAAACAGATTGTCAAACTCTCCGCCATAGTTATTAAAGGGCCTACGGAGGAAGGTGAGTTTTTGTCCTGTAGGATGCCAGCCACATGAGCTGCAACCTGCCATGCTGTTTCAGTTGTAATCAGAGATCCAATCAAACACTGCAATCAAATATCCAATCAAAGATTCCAATCAAAGATCAAATCGAACATTCCATTCAAAGATCCAATCAAAGATTCCAATCAAAGATTCCAATCAAAGATTCCAAGCAAAGATTCCAATCAAGGATTCAATCAGGGATTCCAATCAACGATCCAATCAACGTTGCAATCATGGATTCCAATCAAGGATGCAATCAAGGTTGCAATCAGGGGTGCAATCAAGAATTCCAATCAAAGATTCCAATCAACGATGCAATGAAGGGTTCCAATCAACGATCCAATCAAGGATTCAAATTTAAAGATTCCAATCGAGGATGCAATAAAGGATGCCATTAAGGCAATCAATGAAGGCAATCAGGGCTTCAATCGAGGATGCAATTAAGGATCCAAGCAGATATAATGATTTTGAAACTGACCCCCACACCAATCCCATCAGCACTCCCAAAAGGTGATCTGTGTTTGGAAATTTGGCAGAAAATCTGACGATGAACTTGATGACACTTCGGAACTGTCTGTGTATGTGTGTGCTTGTGTGTGTGTGTGGTGATGGCTGGTGGAGGGAGGGTACTGCAAAATAAGCTGAGCTAATGAATTATTTTATTACTATGGTTTAATGGTGGTGTAAGTTGAGTAATTCAGTCGGGGTCCCTTCATTAATCACCAAGATACCAGAATTGTTCGGCTTCACAAAGTGAAAGTGTGCGTGTCTTTCTGCATCTTGTAAAGAATGCGGCTGAGCTGTGTGGTGAAGTAGGGATAGACACAGTGTTGCACACCCCGACGGTTGGCGGCCCTTGACTGGTCGGCTGCGGACTCGCCGACCGGTCGGCTTGTTGGCACCTACCGGTAGGGGGTCATCGGCACCCCGCAAATAAATAAATAAATTAAACACCCCCAAAACTGCCCTCAACACCCTCGTTACCCCCCCC